GTCAGCAAGCCGGTGTTCTGCTCCCTGTCATTTGTCACTGTCAAGTTCTGGTTAAAAATCAGCAGAATTGTAAGATTTTTTTTATACCTGCCACCAGGTGCTTGAGCTATGGCTCCACAGCCGAGCTGGGGTAACAGACCCCCGTGCTGGTGTGCTGCCACACCATGTCTATTAGCTCAGACCACCCCACACCTGGGCTATTCCCCTGAATAACATGCAATGTTCAGCTTGAGACTCCACCTTGTCACAGAGCTTCACTGCACTTCTAGAGCCTTCTCAAATACAGCTGTTTTAACGCAAAATCTTATTGCCACCAAAAAAAAAAAATAAAAACCCAGACAAAACCTGACCCATCACACATGTATTCCAAGCAAATGACAAGCCAGAAGCAATATGTTATGCAGGAGCTATCTGCTGTGTTACCTGGGTCAAAGATTGCTCAAGTTGCTCAAAGCCCCGTCCAGCCTGGTCTCAAACACCTCCAGGAATGGGGCAACCTGTTCCAGTGCCTCACCACCCTCACACTAAAGAATTTCTTCCTCATACCTAATCTAAATCTCCCCTCTTTCCATTTAAAACCATTACCCCTTGTCCTACTGCTACGGCCCCTGCTGAAGAGTCCCTCCCCATCTCTCCTGTAGCCCCCTTCAGGAACTGCAAGGCTGCTGTAAGGTCTCCCTGGAGCCTTCTCTTCTCCAGGCTGAACAACCCCAACTGTCTCAGCCTGTATTTATAGGAGAGGTGCTCCAGCCCTCTGATCATTTTTGTGGCCCTCTTGCAATGGATATCCCTGGGACAACTGTCCCCAGGGCACAGCTCCTTGCAGCAGCTGGCAGAGATGAATAACCAGAGCCATGCAGATAAAATCCCCTCAGCTTGGGTGGTGGAGATACGATCTCTCAGACCAGTTTCATCTCTCCTGCCCTAGCCTGCATGGCTGGCACGTTCAGCCTGGCTGAGCAGATACCCTTATGCCTTGGTAGGTCAGAGCTGTACCCTCAGGGTACAGTGCAGGCTGGCTCCTGCTCTCCATCACCTGCCAACCTGCAGGCAGCCCTGACTGCCAGAGAGGAGCAAACCAAATCAGCGTGCAACCCAAAAATAGCTGCTCTTTCTGACTGCACTAATGCCTGTGCCACCTTCTGCTCGGGACACTTTTCTGCACCTTATCACACTTTCACAGGTGACCTTTATCTAAGGATCTTGCTTTTCTGACCTTTAGATAAAGAGCTTGCTTTTCAGCTTTCAAAGGCACTAAAGTTACTCGGGAAAATACCTGCAGTTCCAGAGAAGCCCTCCTGTCGCCCATGTCTTGCTTTTTTCTTGTTCTGAGGGTTGCTGCTCTGCCCAGATGCAGTGTGTGCGTGGCTGGGAAGGTGCCAGGCAGGAATCCATCTATCTCCCATCACCAGGCGTCACTGTGGTACTGTCTGAGCCTTTACACAGAGCAGAGGGACCAGCCCTGCTGAAACCAGACCTACTGCCTGCACCCCACTTCATGGGCATGAAGGTGGACTCCTCTTGGGAGAAGCCACCCATGCGAGTCCAAAGCCAGGAGCACGTCTGTGCATGGGGGCAGCTGTGCACACACTTGTCTCCATCTCTCTTGTCACCATTTCCTCACAAGCCTCCCATCTGCCACCCACAGCCCCCAAACTCTACAGCAGAGACAGGGTGAGACACGTCACCCCTGCCCTGCAGCCCCCAAATGGCTGGCTTCACAGTCAAGGAGATCTGCATAACTCATGCCCTTGCCCAACCACCACAACTCATGTCCTTGACCTCCACACAAGCCCCTTGGGATTCAAAGGGGACAACACATCCTGCTGTCCTCCCTCGTTTGCCATCAGAGCACTTGCCACACTGTACCACTTCATGTCTTCTCCCTCTCCAGGCAATCACACCGTCATTGTCTTCACGGTCCAGAAAGGGGTCCAGGTCCTGCTGCCACAGCCTCAGAAGAAAACCGTGCCACTGGAAGAGCAAAAATGTGAGCCATTGCTGAAAAGAGCATTCCTGCTCTCAAGGGGAGCTCCTGCTGCCAAGATGGGAGCTGGGGTCCCTGTATCAGTCCATGATGGGAAGTTTGTGCATGTTGTTTTTCTCAGATTCGGATAAAAGTCTTGAGAAAAGCCTTTCATTCAGCAAGTCTGCCTCCTGTCCTGCAGAGAAGGTAGGTGATCGCAGGGGCAGTCCGCCTCCCCCAGACCACACCAGCACAGCTATGACTCCTCTTGAAACCCAGCGGCCATCTGGGTGGGTCTGTGCAGGGTGCTGGTGACCCCTACCATCTCTGGTAACATTCAGAGAAAATCCCTACTTTCTGCACCTCTCCATGCCCTGAACACCCCACTCCCAGGAGGACACAGCTGTGGTGTTTGTCCCTCATCACCCACACCCTGCCTCCATCAGCTGCAGTCACTGATGCAACTTCTCACCCTCCTCTGCAGGCACCGAGGGAAGGGCAGACCTCCAAGGAAGAACAGACCTCCCAACACATTGAGGACAGGGGTGTACTCCAAGAAAGCTGAGCAGCCCAGATATGCTGCATAGTTTGCACTTCATCAGCAGTAAGACCTAAAAATAAAGCAAGTCAGAGCGTCCTCCAGCTTTCCCAGTAACATAGTACAGCAGCTTGCACCTCTGCAACTATTGCAGGGATGCACCACAACATGCATTTCCACCCAAGGAGATGCCCCTGCCCACACAACAGTCTCTTTCCTCACATATATCTCTAGAAGACTGCATTGTCTACAGCTGGGACCTAGTAATGGTTTAAATAAATCACACTGGGTGCACAGCAACACCTTTTTACAAGCCCTTTGGAAGGTGCTTAGAGCCAGAAAGCAGTCACAGTAAATACTTTACCTAAGGATGGGGGTCCTCAAAGACCACTGGTCCCCAGCACCCCACTGCACAAGGAGCCATGCTTCTCACCGAGGACCAGAATTGCTTTCCCCTGCTCGTCTCCACTCTTCACATGCTTTCCACACAAATTAAATACTTCCTGTGGGTGGTGGGTGGCAAGGCCAAGAGAGCCCACCTGTTTTACTACTCAGCTGTCCATGGTTGGTGAGATAGTGCCTGTCTGACCAGGGCCTTTCTGATTTTCCAATCAAAATCAGCTCATGGCTGACTTGGGGCCTCAGCACGGGGTATGTTATTTTTTTAAAGGCGGTATGTTTACAAAGCACTAACCAAATCATGTCAAAGACCTTCATTTTCCCCAGGTGAAACTGAGTCAGAGTGGCTTTGCCAAGTCACCAGGAAGCTGCAGAAAGCCCAGATGTTCTTTGGACCTCATGAAGAAACGACCATGACTTTCATCACACCTTGCCTCTGACAGGTCCCTTGCTAGCTCTCAGCTTTGTAATTTTGAGCTATTTTTAGCTACTTTTTAACCCTCAGATCCTAGAAGACTGCATCCTGGGAATAGTACAGGTGCATTGAAGGCAGATGATGACATGTCTCATAGTTGTCAGTTATGATTGTTAATGCTTTGCTTCTGGAGGATCAAATAAACAAACAAGTCCAAAGTCCAAGAACGTTTCTATAAACGAAGGACTTGGGAAGCCGATGCCACTCCTACAACCTGAGCTGCAACCAGCTCCTCAGAATTGCCTTTGTGCTGTGACTTGATTTCACCCCAAAAGCTTTCAGCCCCAAAAGCTAGCTGCATTTTCATTTTAGTACTTTGCTCTTAACACTTCAAGCTCTGCAGCCTCTGCAGCTGAGCCTGGTCCCCAGCAGGCTCCACAGATGGGCCTGAAGCTCATCACAGCCAAACTGCAGCTAAGAGTAATCTTCACTCCACTGCTGGGAGCCATCAGGACAGCAAGAAGCACTAACTCTGGCAGCTGGCTCTGCCCCTGGCTCCCCAGGACACCCTTATCCCCAGGCTGTGGCATCAGGCATTGCCATACCACCCAGTTGCAGTACTGGCCAGCTGTCCTTGCCACTGGTTTTCCATCCTGCCTGGCCCGTGGCTGAGCGCTCGCCCATCGTCCCCATTCCTGGGAGGAGGAGAAGCAGCCTGGTATTTTCCTTAGCGCTGGTCCCTGTCCTGCATCCCCATGTCTTCCCCTGGCCTGATGCTCTGTGAGCAATAAGCTGTGCAGATGACGTGCATGGATGAAGTTTCTGCTCTGACACCAGCCTGCCAGCACCTCTGGCTTCTCCGAAAGCAGGACAAGGCAGACCACACGAGCCTTCCCTGGAAATTCTTCCCAGCAGCCTGATTGCCCCAGAGAGACAAGTCACAGCCTCCACGGGTAGTCGTTGCTCTAGTTTGGACATCCTCAAGTGCTCTCTGCTTTCAGGAAGGCCTTTCCACAGCCTTTTAAGGCTGCCAAATCACAGTCCTTTAGCAAAACAGCAGAGCAATGCAAGAAGATGCAAAGGTCAAAGCAAGCTGGAGACGTGGCATTTTACAAGAGGCCGAGGGAGCCCAGCCCACAGCCTCATCTCTCCTCGTGCAAGAGCAGAAAACTGCTGCTATGGTGTAGGAGCTACTCACTATGCTGCTGTGACCCAGACACGCATCTTTGGGTGTCCTCCTGCTTCCTGGGCATGAGAAAGACACAGGGAGCAAGAAAAAATAAGCAGGGAGGAAAGGAAAAAATGAAAGTATCAACACAAGAGGAGTCAAATTCTCCTGGGTGCATTTTCTCTAATGGCACCTCACCAACTGTTGCGTAGTCAAGCTTTCTTGTTACATTTATGTATTCTAAAAAGCCCATTATTTCAAAAGAGACAGCTTGCTTCTGAGGATAGCAAGCCTTCAGTACTTCCCAACATCTTTTTCCGTCAGATACCCATATGGGCCAGAAGCAATTCATCTGAGCAGTGACAAAACCATCCACCCCCTTACCTAAACAAGCAAGAGGCACCTTCATGAGGAAGCCAAAAATCCCAGCCTTTTGGGCATTTTATGCTGCAGACTATCTGTTTCTGTACAGAGGGAATGGGGGAACCTCATTCATAAGTAAGTGTAGCAAGAGTCAGTTTTCCTGGCAAGTTTATTCCAAGTTGGGTTCTCCAGAGGCTAATTGAAAGAATAACGATCTCAGTTGGAATAAAAACAAAAGTCTTTTCAACAGCTGAAAATTATTTCCGTAAGCAACCTATAATCATTGTGCAAATCACTGCATTAGCTGAGAAACGAGTGAGCCCTTGGATGACCAGAGACACTTTGCATGCTGCAGGATTTCAGAGATGGGTTTGTGCCACCCAGCCTCCAGTACCAAAGCTCTGAGCCAGCTGTGTGCTGTGCAGGCACCAGCTCTGTGCACGGGAGCTGGGACTGGCAGGAGGACAGTGATACACCACCAGCAGCACAGTTTTGGAGACAGGGAGAAGTTGTACCTAGCCCTGCCTTGCAGACCCAGCCTGCCACAGCAGAGATTGTCCATTCCAGGAGGAACCCGTCCCTGCAGTCCCTTTGGCATGAGTGACCTTTTTCAGGCGAGTCAGGGCTAGTGCAGTAGCAGAGTTTTGTGGGATTGTGCTCCTTACATCTGTTGCTCGCAGAAACATCTCCTGCCTCCTCCAACAGAAGTCCTTCAGGTCCCAACAGACTGAGCTGAGAGTGCCTCTACCAGATCAGAGCAGGTAATGGGCCAAGGGCAACTCTGCAGCCAGACCATTGCCTAGGCATCTCATGGACTCGATCTCGGAGGTCCCTTCCAACCACTAAGATTCTGTGATTCTGTGATTTTCTAGCTGCAGTGTTTCAAAAAGACTGAACAGAGAGAATCCATGTCTTTCTAGGGGTAGATGAGTGGCTCATCAGTGCAAGCTGTTGGGAATATTTGCCCTAGCAAGGAGCTTGAACTCCTTTTCCTTTGTCAGAGAGTCCCACGTTGCCTGGCAACACCTGAGCTCTTCTCCTGTCTCCCAGATGCGTTGGGTGTTTGGGGGCTGTTCCACATCTCCCTGCTCTCCACAAAGGATCAAGGCCTTGATCTCCACTTCACAGATGGATAAGCCCAGAGGGACAGAGGTAGTCAAGGAGGACCTGGGCTGGCACTCAGCTTGGTTCCTCTCCAAAGCCCATGGTTGTTACACCAAACACTTCTGAAGCATCTTTCGTTTCTTAATCCTCCATGCTCCTGTCCCTGCTCTCTCCAATCTCCTTACCCACTTTCTTCAACTCTTTTGCAGATGAAGAAATAGGGAATAAAAAGAGGCACTGATGGTGGGGTCAGACATCAGACATGAGATATGGGGCAATGACATCCTACAGGTCTGCCCAGTGACTGTATTTTGGATTCCGGCGTAAACTGTTGTAGACATAAATGGTAAGTTCTGGAAAAAGCTCCAAGAAATACTCAGCATAGTCTCCTATTTTGTCACTGATCCTGAAAGAGAAAAAAACCAAAATAGATTTTTAAAGCTTGCCTAAGGATTCAAGAATCCAGGATGCCCTGGTTCCTCCCTTGCAGAGAAAAAGCCATTCCAGAGGTTTTCTGATAACACAGGAAACTTTCCTAGAAATCCTTGATCTCCAACTTTTCTATACCTTCTCTAAGCCCCTCAATCCTTTTTTTTTTTTTGCTACTACTCTAGCACCTCCCTCCGCCTAATCCCACCTGCATTTTCACTGAAGAGCAGTGCTGGCCACCAGCATCAGTGAAACCACCATTAGGAGTTAACACCACCTCTAACCTCACATGTAAGCACCCATGACTATAGGGGGTTGGAGACTCTGTCATCTCTTTACCAGTCAGGACATCCTAACAGGATCTTCTAACAGGACTGATGCTTCCTGATCTGTAACTCAAAGCACTTCAGCACAGTAAACATCAGCGCCAACAAGGTAGATAAGGAGGCTTTTCAAAGGTATAAAGGATGATTCGAATATTTAAGAGTGATCTAAAAGCCTTCCTGGGATTATGGCAAGAAACAGTAGTCTGCAGCAAAAATAACAGCCCAGACAGACATGTTCATGGTGTCCTCTGCTGTAGAGGACACCATGCCTTAGCTGTCACAGACACCTCTCTACCCCACTGGCTGCTCTGCTAAGGGAAGGGTGGAGAGGGAGCTGCCACCAGCTTTCTGGAGCTGCTGCTATCCTTCTGGGACAGAAGGCTCTGGTTGAGGATGTTCATCTGCGGAAGATGATCTAGAAGTCAGATTTTGATTCAAAATCTGAGGTCTAATCCTGTGAGCTAACTTCCTTTTGTTACCCTCAGGGAGGTGATTTTGAGGGTTGACTCCAGACTGCTTGCTGCTGTGATGCACAATCTTTCACACTCTACCGCACTGCCAGAGGAGGTAGCCCCTCTAACAAGACGAGCTTTCATGGACATCCTCCCACATCCCAGTCACATACGCCCTTCTAGAAAACCATCTGAAGAAGAATTTGCTCTCAAACTCACTGACACTTGCAGATACCCAGATGCTCCCTGCAATGCAACTGGGGCAGGAGCAAGGATGTGAACATGTACCTGCTATCTGGGTGTTCATCCAGGTTTCTCATGAGCCTCAGTAGCATATTGACGTTGTTTTTATATTTGAATTTTCTTCCATTCTTGGGATTTTCCATGATCTTCAGAACATCTTTGTCAATCTGAAAAAAAGCACATAGATTATTCTCTGCCTTTCACACTCCACAAAAGCAGCACATCTACCTCCACTCACCACAGCCATTGCCTTTCTGCAGGGACATCATCTTACATGATTAAATCTTGTGACCCTTAAAAGCATATTTCCCAACACGAGCAGAAGAGTTCACTCTGGAGGGCATGTGCCATACAGACCTCCTGATTCTGCTTAGTGTTTTCTCTCCTGCCCTGACGAGGTGTGACATTCATATTAGGACTGTCAAGAGATTTTCACACTTGCCTGGAGGGCAGGAGGGATTCTTGATCCAGCTGTGGCCTTGCCGGGGCCACACAGGCTGCCATACTGAACCGAGACTGTTGGATCTCGGATGATGCATCATGTCCTTCCAGGATGCTACTTGCAAGAGCAGGCCTGGTCTCACTGGTTTTGAGCCAATTTAACAAAAAAGCTTTGCTAGAAATTTGCTTGCAGCAAGAGCTAGACGTCCTTGTCTTAAGGGGTCACCAACAAACACCCTTAAAGGTTTGCCAGCTAATTCTATAATGACCATCCCCTACTACCACCCCAGTCAACAGAGCTCCCTTTAGCATTTAGTCTGGTGTATTTCAACTATGTGTCTTAGACTTAATTGCTTCCCCCAGTTGTCTGTATTTGTGTGGGGCTACTTTTCCCAGTTACGGTTTTAAACATGGTCTGTGAAACACTCAGGAAAAGCTTCTGCCTCAACATCTAGCTCAAACCTCAGATCAACCCCAAGAGAAGAGGATTACCTCCTTGGTCCAGCTCGGATAAGGGAATCTTTCAGTAGCGTTAAAATCTTGAAAGACAGTGTTTTGGTTGGGTAAATCTTTGATTTTATTCCATATACCTTTCAGGAACTGGAACCTGCTGTGGAACGAGGAGCTTCGTTAGCTGCAACCGGGCATCGCTGTTCCCAGCGTCAGAGGTAAATCCCATACCCAAAGCTTTGCCTTTATGCTCCCGGCACTTACTCCTGTTTGCTGGAGAAATAGGGATGTTTGCTCAAACCTTCCACTCCCCGTTCGTCGTGAGAGGCCAGGCAACGTACGAGGTCTAGAGCCTCGTGGTAATCTGGGGAATCATCAGTCAAATCCTCGGCACTGACTTGCTGAAGGGGTTTCTTACCCCCTGTTAAAACGTACAGCACGAGCCTGCTGAGGGCCTGCAAAGGAACACATCACCGCTGACCTGCCAGATGCACAAAACATTTCACCAAATGGAAGAGGACTAGTATTCCTAAATGAGAAGACTCCATACGCGGACACACGCGCGCGCCTATAGGTGTAGAGAAGAATACAAACACACACAAACTTTGAAGATGTGTGCACAAAGACAGAGAACAGAGGCACCATAATCATGCCCACAGGATATCTGTGGATATCCCGGCACCAGCCACAGTCACACATGCTAATCACCATCATTCTTATGCAGCCTCTATTGCTAAATGAGCTTTCCCAAAAATCAAGGTTTTTTTTTTCTAGCTGAGGGTGCAGAAAGGCTTCCCCTAGGTTTCACAGCAACAACAAATAGAGCGCCTGAATTTGTTAACCATATGTCAATTCATAGGGAAATTACCTCTAAATCTGAGTTTATAAGTTCTTTTTTGTCTTCAATCGACCTTCTTTTATTATCAAAGTCCGCCAGGTAAATTTTGCCACCTAAATCTGAGGAAATAAGAGAAATTGTTGACAAATAATGGTGAAAAAGCTTAATACAGTCTGTCACTGACTTCTGGCTGGCCACATTTTTAGAAAACAAATCTCTGAAGAGATCTGCTGTGGGTTGATCTGCCCACAAAGCCCTGGAAAGGAGGGCAGATCTGATGAGACATGTAAAGTTGTTCTGTTCACTCCTCAGTGGCTGTCTGCAAACATACCTATACTTATTCGAAGAGGAGAGCTAAGGCCACAGACACCTCATTCTGAATAAAGATATCTGCACTGGTGTTTCATATCTGTCTTTTCACAGACAGCTATGAAGCATCTTCTTCTCTAAACTACAAGCAACAGGGAAGCAAAAGGAATATATTGAGAAAACAAACATTAACCTATTAAAAAGTTGCTGGGATGCAGATCCTGGTGAGCAAATCCAAGGGAGTGCAGCTCTCTCACTGCCTGGAAGATCATCTTCAGAGCACCTTTGTAATCCTCGTGGTCTTTTGGTTCCTGCAGATATTCTTCAAGGTTTTTCTCCCAAAGGGGGAAGCACAAGTACATGTAGCCTTTTGCCTTCTCAAACTGGAAGAGCTTCAATAGATGTTCACAGTTACCACACTGTTCAAAGAACCTTTTCTCTTCGTCACCTTCTGTACTGCGGCTTATTCTTACTGCAACTTCAGTCTCACCGTGGAGCCCCAGGTAGATTCCACCCTGAGAAGTGTTCTGAATTTTCTGCTGGAAGTATTGAAATATCTTCAGCTTGCCAATCATAGGGCGATACATTTTATGAAGATTTTTCAGCTGGTCCCTCCAACGTTTGCTGTTTGGCTCCCAGTCTTCGAGGGTTTCTGGAACAAACTTGGCATTATATTGGCGAAGAAGATCTGCCATGTTACGATTACGGTTCCTATTCGCAACAGCGATAAGGTTCCCTACATCAGTCCTTGCTCCTTGTTCACACAACAACTTTGCTATATCAAAATAATTTTTCTCTACAGCCACCATCAGAGCTGTGTTGCCCTCCTCATCTGCGTCATCAATATCTATTTCACCCTTCTCCAGTAAAGCTTTCACCAAGTCTGGGCTCTGCATTTCAACAGCTAGGATGAGGGCAGTTTTCCCACATTCATCTTTGCTGTTCACATCAACACCACACTCCAGCAGGAAACAGCCTATGGAGACTGCTGACTCGTATGTTTCCTTGGTACAAGCCTTCTTGAGGGCATGGATCAAGGCATTCCTATCTTTGTTGTCACGAATGTTCACGTCAGCCCCCATCTCTCGGACAAGAGTTTTTACAACTGAGAAGTAGCGCTCCCTACAAGCATCCATCAGTGCTGTCGCACCTCCTTTATGCAGTTTCACCTTCTCCTCACTAACTGCCCTCCTCAAATTTACATTTGCTCCTTTGCTATACAGGAATCTCAAGGCTTCCTCCTTCCCATACCATGCAGCCTCCATGAAAGCTGTGAAGCCGTTGTCATCATGGTCATTAATGTCTACCCCACAATCAAGGAGGCGCTTCAGTATATTCTTGTTTCCCCCTGCCCCTGCTTCAATAAATGCAGTGCCACCATTGTCCTTCCTGGCATGTGGACAAGCACCCTTGTCCAGCAGAAGCTGGACCAGGTACTCATCATCAGCTTGCACGGCACTCTGCAGTGGTGTCCAGCCACTTTCTGCTTTGGAGTTCACATCTGCCCCTTTCTCCAGCAGCTCCATTACAGCTTCTTTATTTCTGTTCCTCACAGCAGCATTTAACTTGGAGGCAAGGTCTTCTGCTGTCTCCGTGCTGGAAGCAGTAGATGCTTCCTGCTGGTTGTGAGCTGTGGGCTCCATGACAGCCAGAGGGAGGGCTCCGTACCTCAGATGTTCCTCACCTGAGTCCAGGGATCCCACCAAAGAATGGGAGAGGTAGAATACTCAGTGGGGATACTCTGGGTTTGGTTGATGAAAAACGCTGGGTAGGATCCGTTGCTATTTTAAGGGCTTCGTGATCTTCACCTAGTTAATTAACAGAAAATCCTGTTTTAATAGCCTGTGAAACCTCGCCACTTCCACTTGATGTCCTGCAGATCTGTGTGAGGGGCAACTAAGGACATCAATGCCAGCACCAGCCGAGAGCAAAGTCTGGCAAGAAGCATGACTTTAGTGCTTAGGCAGACATACTCTTGTCTGCATGAGGTCTGGGTTTGTGCCCCGTGCACAGGAGCTGCTGAGCACATGGAGTGGAGATCCACCTTCTAACCTTTAACGCAGTTCTGTACAGAAAGGAGCGCCAGGAGGCCATGGTTTGCCCAGCTAGCACGCCTCTTCAGAGGGGTCACAGGTTTTTGTGCAGTTTCCAGCAAAGAAAAATTACACAAAACTTGTTCATCGGTCACTTTTCAGATTATGTAACTAATGCCCTTCTGCACCTGTTCCTGAGTAGTGGCCACTTCATTATACAGACGTCAGCACATAAGGTGTGTTTTTTACCATGCTGATCAGTCTTAGTTCACCTCAGGTTACCCTCGGGCAACCCCCTTGTTCCCCCTCTCATCCCCTTAGTCAAGAGGTTCTTGTTGGCATCAGTTCGTTCCTGTGTTACCTTGTTGTGACTCTTTACTTCGAGGGGCACGATTTGCACCCATCATGTTTGCTTGTTTGTGCATGGTCTCAGCACTAACCGCAGCCCAGGCGGGTGTCCTCTGGGGTAAGGGGACAGGGGTGGGGAGAGAACACAAGGTGTTCTTGCTATGAATTTTATCTCAGATTTATTACAGGTTACCTAATAAGCCAGGCCCCAGCGATGTTTTCAGGTGGAGAACACAGCAGGCAGACAGAGATGGGCATCACTCTCCAGTTTTTGATGGAAGCCACAGGTCCTGGAAAGTGCCTGCTCCAATACCTGGAACGAGACAAAGAGCCAGCCTTAATCCCTCCTGCCTCCATAGTCAATTAGGAGACTCTACCTAACCAGAAGCGCTTCCTAAGTTCTTCATGATATTAAGAGGTTAATCAGGTCGGACCTGATTGTTAGGTCACTGACCTGTCTATATCTAGTACCTAGAAAAGCTAGAACTCCATTACCCATTTCCCTGACTGCAAAGGCTGGTTCAAGTGACCAGTGCTTTTAGGAGTCACCATTTGACAAGCTAAACTGGAAATAAATTACCCAAGCAAATCAGAAAAGGGACAGAGAAGCCTTAAGGTATAAAGCCAAAGTATAAATTCACACTAATTTACCATCGGAAAGCCAAAGACTATTTTATTTGTTTTCTCCCACCCAGCAGGAAATGAATACCGATTTTTCATTGGTTTCATTTCATTTCCTGAACTTCTATGCCTTTTGTCACATAAAAAAGAAAAAAGAAAGAAAGAAAATATTACTTTCCCAGTTGGAAAAGCAACACAGCGTCCCCTGGGCATGGTGGGGTTGAAATTCCTCACCCCCCTCGGGAAGATAGAAGCCCGGGGAGGGGGAAGGCAGGGGCTGCTCACCTTTTTTCTTCCTCCTCCTCCGCCGAGCAGCAGAGCTGCAAGCACCCTGCACTAGGAAGTGTTTAAACATTTCCTTCCCACTGGCTTTTGGCCAGAAGCCGCCTGGCGTCTGTGCATGGCGGGCGCCAGCCGATGTGCAAAGTCACGCAACCCTGCCCCTGCGTCACCCGCTGCCCGCCACAGGAAGGCGAGGAGGGGGTCCCTCTGCCCGGCCAGAAACCCAGCTGCTGCTTAAAACGCCTTCAAAGCCAGGCAGCAGCTTTTTTTTCCAGCAGCTGCTGCTTCCCAGCAAGTATCCCCCAGACAGCGTTTGCCTCCCAGCACAGTCTGCAAGTGTACGTTGTCCTCTGTAAGCCCTGGAGAACTTATCCACTTGGGGAGGGATGCTGGGGGAGGACGTTCGGTGACTTTTTTTTCAGCACACAGCAGAGGGGTTGTGAGCAAAGTGCTCTCCCCACACAGTCCCCCCACCCCAAATTCTGGACCCTGTTTTTTAAACCTCCGCTCGGCACCAGTCCAGGAGCTGAAGGCACAGAAACATTAAATGCACCAATCCACAGGTTTGGGGTGGGGTGGTGTTTTTTTTTTTAGGGGGTGGGGAGAGGTGGGTGGGTTAGGTTTTTTTATTTTATTTTAAGCTTTTCCTCACCTTCCAGTATACCCATCCAGAGGGGGAAACTCTCCGCTCTGCTACATTTCACCCAGGGAACCACTGGGGTCCAGGTCCGTTGATGCCGTGGTCGGGGTGTTCCTCACTGCCCCCAGGCTGGCCAGCAGGCAGCTGCCCGGACACCAGCCTCCTCGTAGGCAGCTCTGCAGCCCTTCCCTTCCACCTGCAAAGCCTGTGCAGGAAATACATGAAGGAACCCAGGCTGTGACGTGACACCCAGTGTCCCCTGTCACCCCGTAACCTCAGATAAGCTCACCAGCGTGCAGAGCCCGTGCAACCTCCCCAGCTGCCTCCAACCTAAACCTGCTGCAAGACTCAGGCCACGGTTGAAACGGGGCCTGAAACCACATCAGGTAACTCATGCCAGGCTTTCCACAGCGTGTCAGTACGTGCACAAACTGATGCCCTGCATATGCGTGCAGAGACATGGCTGGATGCAAACACGAGGGCAGGAACACAGAAAAGCACACCCTGTGCACGGATGCAGCCCTGCACATGTTTTACACCTGTATCCAAGTCTGTATGTACTCAGCATCGCCTGCTCACATCTGCATGCCATGCATTCATAGAATCATCCAGGTTGGAAGGGACCTTTAAGATCATCGAGTCCAACCATCAACCTAACTCTGATTAAAAGAAAACATCACCAAACCACATCTCTAAGCACTATGTCAACCCATCTTTTAAATACCTCCAGGAATGGTAGCCTATTCCAATGTTTAATAACCCTTTCAGTGTAAAAATTTTTCATAATATCCAATCTGAACTTCTCCTGGTGCAACCTGAGGCCATTTCCTCTTCTCCTATCGCCAGTGACGTGGGAGAAGAGACCGACCTCTGCCTCTCTATACCCTCCTTTCAGGCAGTTGTAGAGAGTGATAAGGTCTCCCCTCAGCCTCCTTTTCTCCAGGCTGAACACCCCCAGCTCCCTCAGCCTCTCCTCATAAGACTTGTTCTCCAGACCCCTCACCAGCTTCGTTGCCCTTCTCTGGACCCGCTCCAGCCCCTCAATGTCTTTTTTGTGGTACGGGGCCCAAAACTGGACACAGTACTCGAGGTGAGCACATCTCTAAGCACTATGTCAACCCATCTTTTAAATACCTCCAGGAATGGTAGCCTATTCCAATGTTTAATAACCCTTTCAGTGTAAAAATTTTTCATAATATCCAATCTGAACTTCTCCTGGTGCAACCTGAGGCCATTTCCTCTTCTCCTATCGCCAGTGACGTGGGAGAAGAGACCGACCTCTGCCTCTCTATACCCTCCTTTCAGGCAGTTGTAGAGAGTGATAAGGTCTCCCCTCAGCCTCCTTTTCTCCAGGCTGAACACCCCCAGCTCCCTCAGCCTCTCCTCATAAGACTTGTTCTCCAGACCCCTCACCAGCTTCGTTGCACCTCTCTGGACCCACTCCAGCACCTCAATGTCTTTTTTGTGATAAGGGGCCCAAAACTGGACACAGCACTTGAGGTGGGGCCTCACCAGTGGCCAGTACAGGGGAATGATCACCTCCTGAGTCCTACAGACCACGCTGTTCCTGATACAGGCCAGGATGCTATTGGCCTTCTTGGCCACCTGGGCACACTGCTGGCTCATGTTAAGCCAACATTCGACCAACACCCCCAGGTCCTTTTCTGCCAGGCAGCAGCTCTCCAGCCACTCTGCCCCAAACCTGTGGCCCTGCATGGGGTTGCTGTGACTCAAGTGCAGGACCTGGCACTTGGCCTTGTTGAACCTCATCCCGTTGTCCTTGGTCCATTGACCCAGCCTGTCCAGATCCCTCTGCAATGCTCTGAAAGGCTCTGCCTATGCAGGAGTCCTGTGTCTGTACCTAACCATCACTCTGAGCTTTCCACAGCACCCAGCGCATCCGCAAGGTCTGGGAACATCCCACAGTCTCTGGATGGGGTTTCACAGAGTTTATGTTGCCCCAGGAGACCTTGACACAGCCCCACATGAAAACTCAGGGAACAATCTCAAATCACTGTCAAGAACTCATTTTAATTCACAGAAATCTGCTGAACTCAACAGCATCTCTACTAGTTCGACAAGAGCTGGGGCTCTAAGTGCCAGCGTTTAACTTCCCATTTGCAGGCTGGGAAAGAGACAAACAAGCAGAGCAGGGGCACGCCACAGGTTCAGAGCCAACAATAAAAATGTAAAAAAAATAAATCAGTGTTACAATACATAACAATATCACACCATCCGCCTACCCATGTACCCACGTGTTCTGCTCGCTGATTTAATTAAAGTAGTTCATTATCTTCTGGTGGGAAGATGAAAAACCCTAGGATGCGAGGAGTGAGGTGTTTGCAACCAGCAGGGCTGTGGCAGAAGTACCCTGTGCCTGTATGGCAGCAAAGAAGGATTTGCTGGTAATGCTTTCCCTGTCTCTCATCCCCCTATTCTAACTGCTTCCCACACAGTCATGCACAGCCGTGGAAGTTCAGACTCTCAGACTCTGTGACAGGCAGTTTATGGGGAACAGAAAGGCCTCAAAGATTTTCTAAAGCACAGTCCTCTCCACAACCATTCCTGCAGCCTCCAGGCTATGCAATTCCTGCTGTATTTGCATTTTCAGAGCTCTTATTTGCCCCCACTGCACACAGCAGCTCAGGAGAGTCGAGCTGCAGAGACACAGCCAGCAGGAAAATCAAGGGCACAATTAAGGAAATTCTTCCTTTCCCTCCATCCTGATAGGCCTACACTCATTTTGAACCTATCCCCTGAGATAACATCTCCAAGTATCCACACCCTGGCTACCAATCACAAACATGAGCTAAAACGCGACAGCACAATTGCCTGCCAAAGTCAAAATAATTTTTAAAGTAGCTATGAATAGTAGGATGGCTTTTTTCTTCATGTTCCCTCCTTATTACATTTCCAAATGGGAATGTCCCAGGGTTTATATGCTTGGCCATGCTGATGTGACTCTCAGGGTTGGAACACAGCCCTGGAAAATAGTCAATAGATAGATGCAATTTAAACACTGACAGGTGATGCTATCCATGCAGGAGCATCAACCACATTTCACTTTGCTGTGGAATATTTTTTACATTTTTGATCTGTACTTGCTAGCCTTTAAGGCTGCTGCTCAATCCTCATCATCACAAAAGAGAAAAAAAAAATAGACCCAAACATTTGCCAGCAGGACTGGGCTGGGAATAAAAGGTGAGGGCAACTGCAGGGACCTCACTGGGCAGGGCACTGTGTCCCAGTCCCTGAGCAAGGAGAGCAGAGCACATCCATTGAAAGCACCCCAGATAAGCCAAAATCACAGAATCTTCATGGTTGGGAGGAACCTCTGAGATCATTAAGTCCAACCACAAACAAACAAACAAAAAAAACCACCCAAACAACCAAACAAGAACCCAACAAAACCCACAAACAGACACAAACCAACAATCTTAGGCACTAGAGCATGCCCTGAAGTGCCATGTCTACACATTTCTTAAATATCTCCAGTAATGACAACTCCACCAACTCCCTGGGCAGGCTGTTCCAGTGCCTGACCACCCTCTCAGGGCAGTAATTCTTCCTAATATCTAATCTAAACCTCCCCTACCCCAACTTCAGACCATCTCCTCTGCTCCTGACATTACTCACTTGGGAGAAGAGACCAACACCCACCTCTCCACAACCTCCTTTCAGGTAGTTGTAGAGGCCAATGAGGTCTCCCCTCAGCATCCTCTTCTCCAAACTAAACATGCCCAGTTCCCTCAGCCTCTCCTCACAGGACTTGTTCTCCAGACCCCTCACCAGCTTGGTGGCTCTCCTCTGGACATGCTCCAGCATTTCAACGCCCTCCTTGTAGCAGGGGGTCACAACAACCTCAAACAAGGAGCCAGATCAGGGGCCTGAGCTTAAATACCTTTCCCAAGCAGCAGAAGCAGTTCCTCAGCAGCATTTCTCCCAGCTGTGTCTCATCCCCTGCTTCTCCCCGTGGGCTGAGCCCAAGTTGCAGCTGCACCATGTCAGAGCTGCCCTCCGGCACAGGCAGCCTCAACCCCACAGAGCTGCCCCCCGAGCCCCAGTGGTGTCAGAAAGCATGAACATTATCATTAATTTTTTATCAGTTCCCAAGGTGCCCTGGGGGTAAGAATCCCCGTGCACAGCTGGACCGGGTTGGCAACCTTGGCGTTTAGCTGCACACATAGCGAGAGGGACATGAGAGGTATGGAAACACATCACACGTGACTTATAGTGCTTTATTTGGGCCAAAGCCTTGAAGTGAAAGCTGCTGAGCAGGGGGCAGTGGGACACAGCTGCTCCCTCCCCATCAGCTGGCACAGGGGCTGGCAGAGTGCTGCAAAATGCCAGGTAAGGTGTGTCATCACAGACGGAGTGATTAACTTCACTAGCTAGAGTGAAGTAGTGAGATATTTATTAAGGTGAAACAGTGATTTAACAAAACCAGTAGTAAATGCGATAAAACCAGTAGTAAATACGATAGTGTTTTACGAGATTCAATGTCAGGGTACACTCTATTACTTACTGCACAGAGGACAGGGTGAGACAAGCTGTCAAGGAGACCCTCCCGTTGAGTCACGAGGTTCAGAAAGGACCCCCTTGTTTTCTAAACTCTTTCTCAGAGAGGAGTCTAAGTGCAGCTGGATCCAATCCTGGTCCCAGACTTGGTCAGCGGTTTATGTCTAAAGGATTATATATGCACAATCAATCCTTTACATTACTTAGCTAAGATTTCAAAGTTCAGCATGCTATTAATCACTTACCGAGAATTTGTTGCAGCAAAGAATCTCTCAACCTCAAGGAGTAGAACCTTAAGTGAGGGTCCTCACAAAAGGGGAGATCCTGCCGTGCAGCCCGCTGCCATGCAGGAGAGCTCAAAGGGTTCTTGGGCTGCCCGCTATTTATAGAGTAAGATAATTGACCTATAGTCATATTCTCATAGGTACAAAATTTCTAGGTCCCCACTGCAGACAGCAATTTGGCCAGCCATCCCCCAAAGTCCAGGTGCAACTCATCACAACTGATGTTGTGGTGGCCATGGTGGCCATGGCCCAAGCAAGAGCCGGGGAAGGTGGGGGGAACAGGGAGAGCACACTGCCACATGTGTTAGAACCAGGGGAGGGGGGAGGAACAGGGAGAGCACACTGCCACATGTGTTTGCAATATTTGAAATGGCTCAATGCACCCCCTTTGATGGCGAGCTTCCTTCAAACAGATATTCAAACAACATTTTATAGCATCTATTTGCAGACTGTCTTTAAAAAAAAAAAAGACAAACTAATCCTGGATGCACACACACATGCGTGTGCAAATTGGCCTGTGTATGTGTGGTGTCCTGCATGGGACACCACAAGCATTGCAGTGCACACAACAGAAAGCTCAGCACCCACACACCTATATAAGCACATCCACCTGCCCACATACGTGTCTTCGTGGGACCCCTCATCCATGTACATACATGCCCTAAGGCTTGTACTTGGTCCTGCTAGGACCAAGTAGTCCTTGGAGGACCTTGGTCCTTGCATTCATTGCAGTGCACACAACAGAAAGCTCAGCACCCACACACCTATATAAGCACATCCACCTGCCCACATAGGTGTTTCCGTGGGACCCCTCATCCATGTACATACATGCCCTAAGGCTTGTACTTGGTCCTGCTAGGACCAAGTAGTCCTTGGAGGACCTTGGTCCTTGGAGGACTACTTGGTCCTGCAGGAGCAGGGACCCCTGACCACAGGAGGAGATGGGACAGCTGAGTGACCATGCCACCCCACTATGCTGCTGCTGGGAACTCACCGGGTCCCAGGGCAGAGGGAAACGGGTGGTTTTTTTCCACCAAATACATCCACCCTCCCATCCCAGCTCATGGAAACCTGGCCCTGGAGCAAGTATGCATCACACCCCGGGGGGGGCCAGTGCCAGCCCCCACGTTTGCTCCCCGGAGCTCAACTCTCTGCTGCTTCCAAATTCACAGCCTCCTCCCTGGGAAACTTCAGTGGTGGTTTATTGGAAGCAACCGCAGCCGGTCGCGGGAAGCTTTGGCTCCTTTCTCAATGCTGTTTTGTGGGTTGGAGGTTTTTTTTATCATCCCAAGGCTTTAAAGATTTTGTTATGTTACCACTGGGTTTTGCCAGCAGTCACAGAGGACATGCTGGACGCAAGCATGGTTTTATTGACCGAGTTTTGTCTTTGGGAAGCATCTCGGACTTGTAGAGATGAAACTACATGGCAAATGGGATACTCCAGTATCTGCTGTGAAGGCTGGGCCCTACCACCAAGGCTGAGGCTGAGCCTGGGCCACCCATTTCCACACATCAAGAACGGACGCAGCCCCAAACTTCCTCCTAAAGAAAGCTGTAAAAGATTTTAATTCTAAATTTTTTTAAATTTTTTTTATTGTCCAATTTACATATTTTTTTAACTTCAGGGAGTGCAAGGCAAAATCTTCATTTAATTCAGTTAGAAACTGCGGTTAAAAAAAAATAAAAATAATTATTTTGTTTCTCTCTGCTTCTAGACTGTTTTAGTGCCCTTTCATGCCAGATAACTTAAATATTTCCTGGACACTCTTCGGCTCGTTTCTTCCCTCTGACATGCACAGGGATCAGGTATACGTGCAGACTGCTCCCATTCCGAACCCTCTGCCTTGTATGACGAGGCCACGCTTAATGAAATAGTGAATAAAAGATAAAAGGAAGTTTAAACTACCTCCCTCTGGTTAGGAGGATGACAGCTCTTGGGGACAGGGATGGAGAAGAGACAATGTATTTTACAAGAAACAATAATACTTTGCTTTGCTGTCTTAGAAGGGACGTAAAATGTTGTTATAGATGCAATTGCTTGTAAAAAGCTTCTAAATGGCAGAGGCTGGTGGTTTGTGCTAATAGTGATACCTCAGGACCTAAGCACCCCTGAGGTACAGTCACCTGTGATGCCAGCTCCTCCTTGGCAGCCCACTCACACTCTCCTCCACTGACTCAGGCCAGTTAATTTTGGCTTCCAAAGCATGCAATAAATAGAAAGAAGACAACATAAAAACATGTTTGGTTTGTGTTTTATCCAGAACATTGGCATCTCTGCACTGCACTCAGATGCTCCCCTCCCTGCATTCCTTGTGCCCCAGGGAGCCCTCCAGTGCTCCTGCAGTCCCTGGAGGTGCACACACCACACACACCCCCTCTGTTCTCCCAAAGCATCCCGTAGGGACACAGGAGACTGCTCAGACCTCAGGGATTGCTCAGACCTCAGGGACAGCACATCCTGCACCAGCGGTAGGGTGTTTTCTAATGTCTCCTCCAGAGCCAAATACTTCCCCCCCTTGCAAATGAATTCAATCATCAGCTGAGTTATCACTAAAAATCAAATATTATTTATGACAGCAACTCTAAAGCAGGTTTTGAAAACAGCAGCCCTAACTTCAATCCTCCTGCACTTGTAAGAGAGTGGTGACTTACTGATATTAAACAGGTATTGGAAACTGCAGTCCTCTAAGTCCTCAGAAAATGGCAAGAAATACAAACAGTACAGAACACTCTGGCAATTCATGTATTAAAAACTTAACTTCTGCTTTCATTCTTGCTGTGAACTGTTCAGTTCTCTTCAATAAGCCAAGTACCATGAAGCTTTACTCTTCACAAGTCTTCCACTTCCTTTTCACTTCCTGACATTGCAACTTTTAAAGTGACTGTAAACGTCCCTTGAGCCATCCAACACATGCAGCTTTCCTTAGTATGCATTGCAAGTAATGCAAAATTACAATCTAAAAATTAATTGAAAGCCCACAACCAAAAAAAACCCCATGTTGTCACAGTATTTTCCTCTTTACATTTTATTTTATAATGACAATATTGTGTTAGTAATGAAAACAGACCATTGTGCGTCATTCGCTTCAGTAACACAACGAAGGTAGTTCCAGTTGTAAAAATAAATAATAAATAACAAAACAACTAGAATCTCCCTGTAAACACAGCCAGAACCCACCGAGGCTCAGAGGCAGAACCAGCATGGGGAAAGTGGAAGAAGACTCAGAATAACATCCCCAAACTGGTTCTTAGTCCCTTGCTCTACTCAAACAGCCGTGAAAAGCCTGAGCAAACCTGTGCTCCAGCCAACGCTGCAGGGTGCAAAAGATGGTTCCCTCAGCAATCAGTGGGTTCCAGCAGGATAAGGACCTCCAGGTTTGGTCTTTAGGGACAAATGGAGGTACATGTGGCAGCCCCAGGGTGTGTCAGTAGGAAATGATGCTGGTGGCATGTTCCCCACAACCCAGCACTGGTGGGCTCCCCATCACCCACCCAACGTGGCTGCTGGTACCGTTGCTACCAAACAGGATCCACACCTTCCAAGGTGGCTGTGGGACCCAGAAATCTCTGCTCAGAGGGGCTTTCTGAAGAGCTCACCCCACAGATCTGAGCTGATGAAATGTCCTGCCACCCCCCGAGACGCTGAATTCACGGCACACGTTACTGTTCCGCTTGGCTGCCCAGGTTTCTGCTGCAATGCACTCCCCATCACCCACCCAACGTGGCTGCTGGTACCGTTGCTACCAAACAGGATCCACACCTTCCAAGGTGGCTGTGGGACCCAGAAATCTCTGCTCAGAGGGGCTTTCTGAAGAGCTCACCCCACAGATCTGAGCTGATGAAATGTCCTGCCACCCCCCGAGACGCTGAATTCACGGCACACGTTACTGTTCCGCTTGGCTGCCCAGGTTTCTGCTGCAATGCAGACTGGTTTCACCAACCAAGGGAACACCAAACCCGATTTTAAAGCAGGGGAAAGCCCCAGGTTTCCTCTCCCACATGTTTAAAAAGCAAGTTTTCAATAGGATCACTCACCAAAGTGCATGTTTTACATCTCTATTCTCTGTCTAGGATAAAGTGCAGGTCTACGTGCCAAGATGCTGCCCACAAAGCTCTGTTTGAGGGGAGAAAGGAAACAGCGGGGACTGCAAAGCATCCTTTTACTGCCATCAATGGTCCTCCAAGCTCAGGGGAAACCTGCTGCCCCACAGCTCTCGCTGCTCCTGTTCACGTACCTTGCTCCATGGTCATGTTACGTGGTCATCTCTCAAGTTATTACACAGAAAAGGTGGGAGGCATGCTAAGTGCTACAATATCTAAAATAATTTCATTTACAAGCTCCTTGGAGCAAGGGACGCGTGAATGCTTTGAGCAGTGCTCTTCTGTGTATAATAACAATAACGATAAAATAAATAACATTAATAAAAAGTTATGCAACCTAAAGGTCATGTGGCTTAAGCAAGGGATAAAAATGTCACTTCTAGGGATATGCTGTACTGGAAGGAGGTGGAAAGCTTTGATGCAGAGCATGCATAGGAGACGGGAGAATAAGGATCTCAGGATCAGGAGAAGGCAGGCACAGGGTCTCTCTGGCTGACAACGCCTCGTAGTCTGGACTTATCTTCTGGCTGATCCCTCATAGGAAAAGCCCTGCAGGCAGGTCTGGGACAGTTGCCCCCGGGCACAGCGGGAATTGCAGGCTCCTGTGGAGGCTCCGCACTGATGCTGCAGGTCAGAGGCAGGGTCCTGAGATCAGGAGAGAGCTCTCCAGTTACGGATGCTCAAGGGAATCCAGACTCTTTCTCCCAGGCTTGCAACTCAAATCCAATTTCTTTCTGTCCCTGCGATGGTGCAGGTCTCTGGCCATGCTGCAAGGGGAGGTATTGGGCACACACTGGCATGAGAGCCATTCCCACCCGCTCCGCTCCTCTGGGGAGGGAGGACATCTCTTCCCAGCAGCTTGGTGAGAAGCAGAAGCACTTGAGGTCCTGAGGATGCTCCTAATATGCTGGGACTTCAGCCAAAACCCTGCTGTGTGGACCTCAGCCCTCACAAACCATCTCTCAGCCTCTGCCTGGTCCCCCAGCTTGTCCCCCCGTGGTGGATTCGGGCTCGGGTCAGGTATGCGACCGTTTGCTGATGCCACGGCTGGTGGCCTGCTTGGTCATGTCCTGGTAGGAGGCAGACTTGAGGAACCGAGGATAGGAGTCCTTCTCCATCAAGGTGCGGGTCTTGGCCTGGGCTTCATTGAAGCAAGCGGAGGTGGCACCTGAGAGGTTCTTCCGGGTGATCTCCCTGGTTTCGTGGTCGATATTCACCTGCAAGGAAGCAGCATCCACAAACATTACTTTGGCATTAAATCCCTTCCCCTGGTGGGAGAAAAACTGTTTTCTTCATCTTCAGATGAGGGCGAAAATGCTCCAAAATCTTTGTATCTCTTCATGTTGGCAGACCACAGAAGGTTAGAAGTGAAAGCTCTCATGAAAGGAGCCCATTTTCCCACTTTAATAAGACCCACCAGGATATTTTATTCCTTTCCCACCCTATTCAATGCCACAGGACTGGGGCAGAAAGTGCTCTCACCTCCCTGGGTGCCTCACTTTGGACAAACTCCTCGAAGATCCTGTTGGCCTTGGAAGCCAGCTTGGTTTTCGACCGTGTCTTTTTAAAGTCCTCACACGCCAGCCAGAAGTCAAGGTTCTCCTCACTGAACTCTGTCTTCAGGAAGGTGTGGAAGGCTGTCACCCCATCTGGGGAGGGGAGAGAAAAGCAGTTAACAGGGCAGAAGGTGGGGGAGGAAGAGGAGGATGGCTGCCCCGAGCATCGCCCTGGGAGCTCAGACCATGACATCTGCAGATTTCCTTTCCCTCCGGGCAAATTCCACCCTCTGAGACGCTGCTAATTGGCCTCTAGACTCCAATAAAATCCTTTCCCACAGACAAGTAATCCTCTGGTTTTATTTATCTGACCTTTCTGTAATGAGGCTCCAGAGTATTTTCTTTACAGCTTCGGAAAAGAGCTAATTCTACCTAAGGAGAAATCCACTGAGGTATCAGCGTGCCTGCAGGAACCGAGCAGCAATGGCTTTATTTTTATTTCTCAGCTGAGATCTAAGGGGAACGAGAGGCTGAGGAGTATGGGAGAGTAATTGCAGCAAGGGTTTCAGAGCTGGGCTGGGGGGATGTATTAGCTTACAAAGCCATGAGATGCTTGTTAGCCATCACAGCACGTAAGGAAGGCTGGAAAAAAAAGAGTATGCCTCACCCCAAACTAGCACTATGGAAGGACTTTCCCTTGCTGTGAAATAGCTTTTAAGGTAGACAACTACTTCTGTATTAAATTTTGGCACTTCTACCATTGTGTACCTGCTGTAAAGCCCAGGGTAAGGAAGGGATTACATGTGGGACTCAAAAAGAGGTCCCCTCTCTGGGTCTGGAGGTACTGTCTGCATGGGAGAGAGGGAAACAGCCCCGTACAGGGACCCTGTGCATCACCATAGAGATAGCATATACTGGAAGGGAAAATGGCTACGTGTAACTCGGTAAAGCAGTTTAATTCCTTCTCCCTGTAGAAAAGCCACCCCCAGAGGCACAGGAGAGACAGACAGAGGGCAGCAACACAGTTTTTTGAGCAACAAAATCTGTGCAAAGAGCAGAGAGCAAAGGGTGCCTTCTCCTGAGCGCGGAGCAAGGGACCATCAGAGCACGGTGTGACATTCTCCCTGACAAACTGCTGCCCACGGGATGCCCACAGCAATGCTCCTGTCCCAAGGCAGCAGCGAGGCACCATGAGACAGCACTTGTGCCCCCCCCTCTCCAAAAAAGCACTCAGGCAGAAGAAAAGGGTACAGCTTCACAAGCCAGGCAATGAGCCCCATGCATTGGCTCTGTCAGGGCTGGAAAGGAGCCTTTTTCTAATTCCTAAACCACTTCATTTGAGGAGGAGACAAGATGTCCTTGTACACAGGCTGCTCACGGGGAGCACGTTTGCCCTATGCACCCTCCCCAAGAGAAGAAAACAAGATCCTACTCACTTTTACTCTTCAGGAGCTGGTCGAAGGACTCCCTCCATTCAAGTACCTCTCGTGAGGAATCTCTGGAAAAGACAAAAGGATGTAAGGCTCGCTGTCCCGCCGAGAACACATCTGCCACTTGGCAAAGGATGGGAGCACTTCAGTCGAGCGGCCCCGTTAATGGGAGAGAGCACAAAAAGGGAGGAAGCAGCATTTGATAGAAAACCAAAGCGAGACCCCAACATCCATTACCTGTGGGCTCTCTTTCCTTTCTCCCTTTCTTTCACCTTCCCCGATGGCTCACCAGACCTCAACTCCATAGCGCAGGGAGGATACTCAGAGGAGTCCTTTTCTGCTGGTACAAGCCCAGCAGAGCCTCCTCTGCAAGAAGATGCCTTGCCTTCAGCAGCAATATTTAGTATTCTGTTTTTAATGCTGCCCTGCATTCCCTGGGGTTCCCAGGCACCAGCCAGAGATAACAGGAATTGCGGGAACCCTCTGAGTTTCTGGCCTGTTGCTAAGGACTTGCTTTCTTGTGCCTAATGCCAGAGCATCAGTTCCCCAGCCTGATTTTATAACTGGTGGAGCTGGGAAGCGGTCCGCCTTCCCTGCCTGCTGGGGTGGGACTGTGGGGAGGGCAAGCTGCCTTCTGTCCTCTCCGCTGCGCAGATGGGCAGGAGCATCCCCCAGGAGAGCCTGGTCCACGGGGACCTGTCCCGAGTTGAACCCGGGACACGGCGCTGCTTGGCTTACCTCTGCCTGGAGCCCAGCTGCAGCTTGCTGGAGGTCCCGATCCTGTGTCCCAGCTCTGGTTTATGCAGCAGGATCCCTAAGCGGGTCTTCAGATCCTTGGCTCTGGAAGGGAGGAAGGGGAGAGGTGGGACTGCTGGACCACGGGTGGCTGCTGCCACCCTGCTGCCTCGCAGGGGCTGCACCCCATGGATCTAAGACGGCTCAGCGGGGCAGCCCTCGCTCCTCAGCTTCAGCTAATTCTTTGCCTTCTGATGTATGAAATAAACGCTCCCCCAGCTGCTTTTTCTGCTCCCTGGCAACCACGCTCAGCAGTGCATTAAAGCCCAGGGGAGCATTTCCTCCCTCTTGCTTCCCCAGGTAGCGCCACACACACATTTACAAAGCATGGCGAGCTTTTTTCCTCTGGGGCAGGTAGCAGAGCAGCTGCTGAGTGCCCAGCTGGAGCCCCCGCAGCCCCCCTTAGCTCCCTGGAGCTAACCTGGCTCCTTTTCCTCTCCCTCTCTCCTGGCAGTACTACGCTGCTCTCAAAGCACTGGAAAAGCACAGCAATTTCTTTCTGCTTGGCAGAGCAGGAGCATCTCCCCGCTGCGAGGCTGCTGCAGCAGGGCTGATGCTCCCCTGTATTTTTTTTTGGGATGCCCTGGAACCATCAGGAGCTGTGGAGATGGCTCCACTCCCTGGTGGCACCATCCACCTACCCCATGCCTTCAAGACCCGGCGAGCCCAGTAGCAGCACGATGCTCCTGTGCCACAGCCCCTTCTCCAGGAGCCTGGGAGGTGGCTGCCAGTCACCACAGCTCTGTGGTGGTGGCACCTCCCTGCCGGGAGGTCTCTGCAGAATAGGGCAGGAGCTGCTGCTCAACGGGCTCCTCTCCCTGGGGTCCCCCCGAGGCGGTCCCGCTGCTATTTGTGTGCCGCAGCTCGTTCCGGCATCCCAAGGCGCTCGTACAAAAATAAGTGTTTAAATGTCAAGCCGGCAGCGTGGGGCTCTGCAGCCGGGTTCGGCAGGAGGAGCAACATGTCACTGAGCGTTTTGGACCGTGTTAACAAAACCAGTCCTGCTGCTGTCAGCCCGGAGCAAGTGCTGCAGAGACGGAGCCGGAGAAACAACCCCGGTGTGTTGGTACACCCGGACACACGCGGGTCCAGCCTCCTCTCCCTCTGCGTGTTTCACCCCTGTGCTGCCCATCTCCCGGGGAGCATAAGGGATGCAGCCGAAACAAATCACTGGGGCCATCCTTCGCTGCGTGTTCCCCTGCAGCCCCAGCTCCTGGCACAACATCCATCACGGCCAGCAGCAGTTAACCCCGAAGTTAGGGGTGTCTTTTCCAGCTAACCCTCTGCATCCCAGCAGTGTGGCGTGGAGAAGCCCCTTACCTTTCCAGGCAAGTGATGGGGAGCGTGGCTAAGCCCCGGCACATGCTGAGAGCCGGGCACCCGGGCACCCAGCAACTCATCAGGTCCCCAAGGGTGGCGGTGGCAGGGATGTGCAACAGGCAGCTGAGGCACCACCTGCGCCCAGGGCCGGGTGCTGTCGGCTGGAAAAACAGCGAGCAGCCCTGCTTTATATCGGGTGGGAGGCGGGAGAGCTGGGAGGGGGACCCGGCATCGCTCCAGCCTCCAGCCAACCAAAAGCTGCTCCGGCAGCACCAGGCGAAGATAACGGCTTAGGTAGGTTTCTTTTGTGCTGTTAA